AAACTGAGACTTTTCCAAATTTGTTTATTAATTCTAGTAGTCTTGTGGCAGAGTCTTTGGGGTTTTCTAGCTATAAAATCATATCATCAGCAAAGAGTGATTGTTTGACCTCTTCTGCATCTATCTGGATGCCCTTGATTTCCTCCTCTTTTCTGATTGCTCTGGCTAGGACTATGTTGAATGGAAGTGGTGATAGAGGCCAACTTTGTCTGGTTCCAGTTTTAAGTGGGAATGCTTACAATCTTTCCCCTTTCAGTATGATGTTGGCTGTGAGTCTGTCATATATGGCTTGTATCATTTTTAGGTAAGTGCCATCCATGCCTATTTTGTTAAGCATTCTTATCATAAAAAAACTGCTGAATTTTGTCAAATGCTTTTTAAGGGATCATATGGTCTTTATTTTTACTTCTGTTTATGTGTTTAATTACATTTATAGATTTGCATATGTTCAACCATCCCAGCATCTCTGGGATGAAGCCCACTTGGTTGTGATGCATTATTTTTTGATAAGCAACTGATTATGTTTCCTTAAACTTTATTGAGAATTTTTGCATCTATATTCATATGGGATATTGGTCTGTAGTTTTCTTCTTTTGTCATTTTATTTCCTGGTTTTGGTATCAGAGTGATGTTGGCTTCATAAAACATGTTGGGGAGGATTCCTTCCTTCTCAATGTTGTCTAATAATTTCATCAGGATAGGAATCAGTTCTTCTTTGTAGGTCTGGTAAAGTTCAGGTGTTAAACCATCTGGACCATGGTTTTTCGTTTTAGGAAGGTTTTTTTTTTTTTATTAATGCTTCAATTTTGGTACTTGATATTAGTCTGTTCAGGAATTCGATTTCTTCCTGATTGAGCCTAGGAAGTCTGTGTCCCTAAGCCCTAGGCTGTGGCCCTAGAATTTGTCCATTTCCTGTCCATTTTCGTTTTATGTGCATAGAGGTTTATATTATTTATAGATGATATATTGTATTTCCATGTCACCAGTTGTAATTTCTCCTTTTTCATTCTTGATTGAGCTTAGTAGAGTCATTTCTTTTCTACTTCTCATTATTCTAGCAATAAACACATCAATTTTATTTTTTCAAAGAATCAACTTTTTGTTTTATTCATCTTCTGTATAATTTTTTTCTGATGGATTTCATTTAGTAATGCTCTAATCTTTGTTATTTCTTCTCTTCTTCTGGGTTTGGGGTTAGTGTGCTCTTCCTTTTCAGATCTTTAAGACAAGTTATCAGATTGTTGATTTGTTATCTTTCTGTCTTTTGGATGTAGGCATTTATGGACATAAATTTTCCTCTCAGGACTGCTTTAGCTTTTCCATACAAATTTTGATAGCTTATTCCTGCTGTATCATTTTGTTCAAAGAATCTTTAGATTTCCATCTTAATTTCCTACTGAACACAATAATCATTCACCAGAAACTTGTTTACTTTCCATGACTTTGTGTAAAGATGAGAGTTTCTGTTGGAGACGATGTCTAATTTTATTCCACTGTGGCCTAAGGAGATGCATGATAGAATCCCTGCTAACAGCATTTCTTAAGTCTGAGATCAGGCTCACCTAACACAGCCCAACCCCGCCACATCCCCCACCTTCCCCTGCTGAGGTGGAGAATGAGGACACACCTGGAAGTCCTAGGGCCCACCCATGACCCAAAGCACTAGAGTGCCTCTCCAAAGGAAGGAGCTGGTTACTAAACCCAAAAACAATATTGCAACTTGCTCCTCCCTGCAACCACCACCTACTGAGAGGGAGGTCAATTTGCATGCCCTTTTGCTGTATTTACTGACTGATCATACAGGGTGTGGTTGAATCTCACTCACAAGCATCACCTACTGGCTCAGAGACTAAACTGGGCGTGTCATTATCCAAATAAAAACTGAAAGGTAAGAAAGAACAACTGCTCCAGGATAAGAAGGCATCAGAAAAAGAACTCTGGAAGTATACATAATAAAACTTTAAGGACACCCCAAAGGGGAACAGCAGCTCTCTATCAATGGCTATCAATGAAATTCAGAACACTAAAATGACAGAAGAAGAATTTTGAACATGGATTGTAAGAAAATTCAATGATATGTGAGAGAAAATTAGTATCCAACACAAAGAAATTAAAAAAAAAAATCCAAGACTTGGAAGCAAAATTCACTAAAGAAATTGAAATATTAAAATAAAATCAGACTGAACTACTGGAAATGAAGAATTTATTCAAGAAATTATGGAACACAGTGGAAAGCTGGAAGAACAGAGAGGATTAAGCAGGAGAAGAAATCTCAGGGATTTAAGATAACACATTTCAATTAAACAAGTCAGTTACAGAGATAAAGCAGAGAAATTAAAGAAAAGAGCGAAGCCTACAAGAAATGTGTGATTATTTAAAGAAGCCGAACATAAGAATTATAGACATCTCTAAGTGTGAAGAAGAAAATATACAAGGTTGGATGGCTATTTGAGGATATAATGAAGGAAAATTTCCCTGGGCTTGCTAGAAATCTAGGTACCCAGATACAAGAAGCTCAAGGACTCCGTGGAGATATATTGATAGCAGGAAGACACCATGACACACGGTCATCAGATTGGCTGAAATAAACATGGAAGAGGCCTTCCTATGAGCTATAAGGTGAAAGAATCAGGTGACCTACAAAGGCAAACCCATCGGACTAACTGCAGATATCTCAATTGAGACCGTACAAGCCCACAAGGATGCATTCAGACTCAAGGTAAAGGGAAGGAAAACAATATTCCACACAAATAGAAGCCAAAAGAAAGCTGGCATAGCAGTTCTGATTTCAGAAGAGACTAGGGCCCCTTTCTTACTCTTCTCATATAGAATAATGCCAAGCCTAGAATCTTGTAAACTGCAATACTAAGTTTCTTATGCTAAGGAGAAATAAAGACCTTCTCAGACAGGCAAAGACTGACAAAATTCATCAAGACAAGACCTGCCCTCCAGGAAGTACTGAGAATAGCAGTACACATGGATCAGCACAATAGAAATTCACAAGTGAAAAATCATCAAAAAGCTGAAGGTCAAAGGCCAGGTAACACAACGTTCAAGAGAAAAGAAAGCAACAAAGTTCAATTCAAGAGGATGAACAGAAATCTACACCACTTATCAATTCTTTCAATAAATGTGAATGGGTTGAGCTGCCCACTAACAAAACATAGGCTGGCTGAATGGATAAATATACACTAGCAAAGTTTCTGTTGTCTTCAGGAAGCACATCTAACCCACAAGGATGCATTCAGACTCAAGATAAAGGGATGGATAAGCATATTCTATGAAAATGGAAGCCACAGAAAGCTGGTGTAGCAGTTCTGATTTCAGATAACTTAGCCTTCAAATCAACAATGAAAGACAAAGAGAGCCACTATACAATGGTGAAGGGTGCAATTCAACAAGAAGACACAATAATTCTAAATATTTATGCAACCAACTCAGATGTACCCAGATGAACAAATCAAAGCCTACTAGACCTAAACAATATGATAAACAGTAGCACCACCATAGCCGGAGACTTCAACACCCTTCTGACAGAACAGGACAGATCCTCCAAACAGAAAACAAAGAAACAATGGATTTAAACAGAACTCTAGAACAAATAGGCCTGACGGAACATTCTTCCCAAAAAACACAAAATATATGTTTTTCTCATCAGCTCATGGGACATTCTCTAAGATTGCTTATATCCTAGGCCACAACACATGTCTCAACCAATTTATTCCAAAAGTTTGCTTTTTCATTTTCAGTGAATATTTGGCATATCCAAATAATCATAAGCTAAGGAACTCTCCAGCGTCTGTTGAATATAAGCAGGTTGGTGCAACATGTCCTGTTCCTAGAATTGGCCTGTCAACCTCCTCTGTATTTTGTACATTATAACCAAAGCAGTGTCATTTCAATAGAAAACAAAGGAAGGAATTTTTTTTCTCTTCATGAAATTGTACCTATCTTAAACATCTTCCAATCATTTTCTGAAACTTAGTAGTCAATAATATCTACCAAAATCATAGTTTATACATGATTTCCATGTGAAATTGTGTTAAGGCATGTGAAAGCATGAAGTAAATAGCTTTAAAAGAAATTAACTACATGAATATATTTTAAATATCTATTTTGTGATAAGTATTAAGATCTTGAAATGTCATTTTTTGTCTCCTCACCCCCAACACTTTTCATTACTTTTTTGGTCAGTTTGAGCTATTTACAAAGTCTCAGTGTGAATTAGATTGCTAAAATGTATGCTTTTTATTTGTTTTCATATTATGCTGAAAACTAAAGCAAAAAGTTTTTTTTTTCACATACTATAATTTTTATTTTAGGAATTTTTCTATTATTATATGATTGATGAATTAAAAAACTGTAAGAAATATATGACAGCTGCTAGGTCTTGTTTAACACATTGACTGCCACACTAGAAAAATAATTTTTTTCTTTGGGACCATGGTGTTTTATTTTTTTGTTTTTTGTTTTTTATTTGTTTTTTTATTTCGGCATATTATGGGGGTACAGATTTTAAGGTTTCAATAAATGCCCTTTCCTCCCCCTCCCCCCACAAGTCTAAGTTTCCAGCATGACCATCCCTCAGATGGTGCACATGTCATAAAGCAAAAAGTTTTAAAGGAGCAGAATGGGAGTGTATACTTTAAAAGAAACCAAGATTGGCAGACAATGAGAAGAGAAAGAAGACCCTCTCCTGAAAAGAGTCAGTAGGACTTACTGAATCCATAGTAAGAAACAAATAAGCACTTGAGACTCTGATTCTGAAGAAAGTCAGAAGCTAGAAGAAAAGACTCCTGATTTGGGGAGATCACCACAAGAGAAAGAAATAGGAGTTTGTATTAGTTTGGTAGGACTTCCATAACAAAGCACCACAGATTGTGTGTTAAAGAAGCGGAATTAATTTTCTCATAATTCTGACAAGATGAAGGTGTCAGAAGGGTTGTTTTTCTCTAAGAAGGCTTTGGCTTTTGGATGGCTGCCTTCTTCCAATGTCTTCACATTGTCACCCTACTGTGTGTTCCTGTGCCTTAATTTCCTTTTCTTATAAGAACACCAGTCATATTGGGTTAGGACCCACTCACATGACTCATTTAATTTTAATTGCCTCTGTAAAGACCATATTTTCAACTAGGATACTGAGGATTAGGACTTTATGATATGAATTTTGGGAGAATACAAGGCAACCCATGAAAGTATTGAAGAGTATAATACATTTTTCTAGATACAGAGCCAAGAACCCTAATGGAAGCAGAGACTCCAGCTAAACGATCCACCACGTCACCGTAGCCACACTGTTTTTACTATCACCTTTGTTCAGGTTTGTTGTTCTGCGCCCAACTGCACCCTCCTTGTTGTTTAATACCCTACTAAGTGAATTCTTCCAAACCTTGGAGCCTGCTTTCTCATGGTAGGCAGTGGCATTGTGGAAGGACTGGCCTCATTTCTGGTATTGAGCATGACACAGCAGTGTAGAAAATGATCCTTATTAAATTGTAATTGACTTTCTCAACTAGTTTACTGAAGAAATTTCTTTAAACTTCATATTTAATATTTTTTGGTATAAAAATGTGGCTTAAAATGTTAGGAACCACTACTTTCAAACAATATGTCAAAATTTAAAGGGAATAATTCCATTTGGTGATAATGGACCATAGTACCATTTGGTGATATGCTTTCGATGTCAAATTACACATTACATCACTTTATTGAAGAGCTCTGAGCACAATTTAATGCATTTTATCTAGGATGTAAAAATGATATAAGAGATTAAACGTCTCATACCCTGAGATTGGATGATTGTTATAGTATCCATCAAAACATTTTCTCTCCATAAGACTTAATGAATCAGGCCCTATACCTTAGCATTGTGGCCATTAACCAATTACTACACTGCACTCCTTTTCTCTCCCCCATTCACTCTAACACCAGTCACCTTAGTGATTGCCTACCATGCAACTAGTGTTTGAGATATGCTCAGTTTTTAATAAATTGATCTTTATGACATGTCTTTAGCCACTTACATGAGGAATGCTGAATATCAAAATCCCTTTCAAGTTTCTATTCTACTTAAATTTACCAGTCACCAAAAAACAATTTATAAAATTTGTTTCTTAAATACCAAGTATGCATTTTGAACTTGTAAAATTATTCCTATTCATTATATATTTTTTCTGTATTATACTTCTGTCCATTTCTCTGGCATGCACATGATGAAAAGAGGAGTCTGCTTCCTTTTAGCAACACAGGATTGCAGCAAGCTAGCAATGACTCCCACCCTACAGATAATGCTGACCTTGGTTTCACCTGGCACAGAGGGAGAACCTATTAATTTTACAGACATTTTTTAATAATAGGACACTGAAGGAAGACAAACACTGTTTGACATGAGAGATTGAGAGGATACATTAAGGTGGTCATTGCAAAGTATCATACCTCCTTTTCTCCAACCGTAGATATTATCATAACAATTAAAGCTAGCATCAAAAATCTGCATACATTTTAAAAAGTTGTAAAAATCTTACATATCACCAAAAGTATATTTATTTTTTCATGTATATATTCCTTTTTACTTGGTAATTTTCAATTTAAGTCATAGGCAATTTTTCATAGTGTAGTAATAAAATATTAATGATCATTTAATATTTATTGGTATTAATATCAATACTAATAATTTGATGACTTTAGTTATTATTATCATTTAATTAATAGAGAAACTAATTCTGGCTCACAATAAGACTCTGGTGAAGCAGACGAAGAGACATTACATAGAAAGTGGAATAATAGACACTGGAGACTTGGAAGGGCAGGAGGGTGGGAAGGTGAGAGGGGGCTGTGGGATGAAATTACCTAATGGATGCTATACACTAGCGGGGTGAGGGTTACACCAAAAGTCCAGACATTAGCACTACACAGTATATCCATGTAACAAATCTGCACATGTACCCCATAAATCTATAAAAATAATAAAACAAAAACCTTCTAAGCTACAAAAAAGAACGAATACATCAGAGACATTTAAACTAGCCATTCCTCTCTGTAACAAGTTTCTTCTAGTTATTTCATTCATTTTTTTTATTTTTCAAAATTTTTAATCTGGCATATGTAATATTAGTTGTATGATGCATTAGCATTTTAAAAGGTTATTCATGTACAGATAGAATTTGACTATTAATAATACCCTAATGAAACTGATATAAGAATGTATTAAACATAAGATTTATCTGAATACGTAAGCCATGGATATTATTTGCATAATTCAATATTTAAATATGTTCTTTCTGTAAAAATTTAAACAGTGTAAAGTCCGCCTTGACTTTTCCAATTCTAGGTTTTGCAGATGTAACTGCTATGCCATCAATATGGGTAAGTGCATGCTTTTGTTCTCTCTACATTCCTAAGCCCCTCGTATTGAAATCAAATAGATGGGCTTATCTTTATTTATATTGCTTCAAAGATTTTTCAATAAGGCCAACAGCAAAAGTTACCATGATTAGCATCTCTAAAAACCATTGCCATTAAAAGAAGCTAGGATGTATAGAAATAATATCAAATTTCAGATGTGGGGCAGGAAATCTATATACCAAAATACTCCCAGAATATTCTATCATATGAGGAAATTACCAGAGTCCAGAATGCTGTGAAAAACTCAGGAGCCAACTTGAAGATGCTGTCAGCAGGCAAAGATGAAAAAATTGGAGCAGCCAATAGAAATAGTGGCTACATTCCTTACAATATGTCATATATATTTAAATCCTTGTTTTTATAATAATATAAAAAGTATCTCACTGGTAAAATTGGTATATGCTAAGAAACTAAAATATTATTTTGAAAATGCTAAATAAAGGGACACCTAAAGCATTTATACCTTCATCTCTCCTGATTGTCTGACATCAGAGTAACTGAAATTTAAAGATTAATAGAAGTTTGTCATTACACAATAATTCCATATAATGATAAAAAAGAATGTTATTACAACTCCATCTTCATCAATCTTTAATGACTTAATTTACCAAGACAATGATGATCAATGCCTAATAATATCACAAAAAGTAAACATACAAACATTTTTTCATTGTATTATTTGCCCTAATGGAAGTTTACATTATCACTTAGGAAGTAATTTTACTAAATAAAGGAACTTAAAGCAGATCAAGTTTCTAGATTAAAGCTGTCTGATAAAACTTTTTGTGATGGTGGAAATATTCCACGCTCTGTCCACTATGGAAGCTACTAGTCACATGTGTGGCTATTTAGTACTTTAACATAGCTAGTATAACTGGGAAAGTGAATATTAAAATTATTTAATGTTAAGTATTCTAAATTGAGATTCAAATGGTCACATTTAGCTACTGGCGAACATAGTGGACATCAGTGCTTTAGCTCAAAGTCCAATTTACAGTAAATATAAACATCAAACAATGTCTTAAACTATAGGGATATATTCTGCAATACATAGAAAAGGTAAAATAAAAAGATAGTAATAGTATTTAAAGGTAAAAAATAGTACACCTGTTTAGGGCACTTACTATACAGGTAAGTGAATGCTAAGCCTTCAGGACTGGAAGTTGCTCTGGGTGAGTGAGTGAGTGAGTGGTGAATGGGCGTGAAGGCCTAGGGTGTTGTTACACACATTTATATCACCAGTCACACGGTAGATTTGTTTGTGCCAGCGACACCACAAACACATGAGGAACACGTTGCACAGTGACATTGCATGGGTGATGACATCACTGTATGACAGAAAGTTTTGGCTCCATTGTAATCTTGAGGGACCACCTTCATATATGTAGCCCCTTGTTGATGGAAATGTCATTTTATATCCCATGACTATAAAAAAAAAATTCTGGACTTCAAATGATTGTGCAATCTTAGACAGTGGTCATCTTAGCAATAGCCAACTCCATTCGGGTCCTCTTTACATTAAAAGAAAGCTTGGGCAGACATTCCATTGTTTGTATATAGCGAAAGCCAACTTTTACATAATAAAATAGAAGTCTTAATATTAAGAAATGAAAATAATAATGACAACAAAACAATTATATTAAATAATATCAATTGCTTTTCCAAAGCTTAGAATTTATAATCTTATATAAATTTCACAACTTCAATTTTATGTAGTAAAGGGGAAACTGCAGTGTAGAAATGCTAATGTGCACGAGACACAGAGCTAACAGTGACCAGGTGGCTTCCTGAGCCTGTGGTCGTAATCAGTTATATGACTGAGTTTGTTTCCCATCAAGGTGACATGTGAGTCACAATCAAAATTGACAACTTGAAAATAAACATAGAGATATATTCAGCATTTCTGAGGTATAAGGCTAAAATCTATATTGACCACATATTCATGGTTATATTTGTATTTGATTTTTACAATAAATTCTAAGATACTGTATCTATTCTTTTGCTGAATATATTTTTTATTTAACAATGTAGTTTGAAGACCTTGCTTTGTCAGTCCTCATTGTTTAATGATTGCATATCATTGCTTCATATGCATATCTTATATGTTTTTTTTAAATATACCTGTATTAAAGGACTTTTAACAATTGTTTTCAACTCCATTAATACAGACATCATGTTTTTCTACATTACTATGGAGTCTCCACCTAGCAAATATTCTAGAACATTTATTCAATAAATAATTTTGAATAGACTTATGAATGAGAGGTATTAAAACTAGACAGTTTTCTAAGAATCCAAATTTAAACTGAGGAAAAAAGTGTGCATATTATATAGAATACTAACATTTGTCTATTTCATTTCCAAAGAATCATACTTTTATATGTCTAGGCCATCTTTCTGATAGATCTTCAAAATGAAACTGAAGCCCATGATTGGTCTTCAAAGAAATGTGCAAATAACTTGAAATTGAATGCTAACTTCTACGTGTACGATCAGGTGTGATTATATTTATTTATTTGCTTATTTATTTAGTAATTATTTATTCATGGGAGGGTAAAAAATGATGTTCACTCTCCAACCTACCTAACCACTTATTATATAAGCAAAGAGATCTTCCCATTATTAACATTATAATTATCCAATAGGGATGCTACTTAAAAACTATGTTTCATATTCCTTGGACCCTTCAACTAGACTTGTTTCTTAGTAAACTTACTAAATATCCATAATCTATAATTAGATATAATGTAAATTGTTATTTATAAATTACTTTAAACATTCTGGATCAATAATTTGAAAAGTATTAATCCTAACCTTGTAAAGTCTATCATAATTGCTGATTTCAATGACTTCTGATTAAAAAATAACTTTAATAAATAAATTAAAAAATCTATCAGGAATTATAGGACATATTTATATACTAAATTAAGCATAACCAAAAACTAAATTAGATTTCATCATGTATAGAAACTTGGAATAGAACAATTTTAAAGCAATTCTCAGCACTTTTAAAAGCACTCATGTTCATTTTTAAGACATAATTAAATGAGTATACCCAAAAATAGGCACCAAATCCCAAAATGACTTTTGTAATTTTGTGATTATAAAAGGATATTTACAAACTAAAACTATAACAAAAATGTACAATCACCAAGCAATTTTAAAATCTTTTGCCTAACATATGCCCTATTTAAACACTTTAATGTATATTATCATATTAAACATTATGAAATTTTTGCTATAAATCAACCAATTTAAGTTTAGTTTATTTTTCCAAAACTTAATGGAACACTTAATATACCCTTTTATGTACATTTTAATATTATTATCACATGCATTAGTAGTATGTTGCATGCTCATCTAATCAAATTATTTTGTAATCATTGCTAACTTATTCTTTAGAAAAGATATATGCTTCAATGTCATCTATTATGGTATAGAGGCAAAATATAAAGTTTTCAAAAGATTTAATATCTATAGATTTTATAGTAGTTTTTAGGGTTCCTCCCCCTTATTCAACAGAATTCCAATGTTCTAAGCAAAATTAAAGCACCAACAATTTCCCTAAATATACATATATATATATATATATATATATATATATATATATATATTTTTTTTTTTTTTAAGACAGGCTCTCACTCTGTTGCCCAGGCTAGAGTACAGTGGCATCATCATAGCCCACAGCAACCTCAAACTCTTGAGCTCAAGCAATCCTCCTGCCTCAACTTCTTGATTAGCTATGACTATAGGCAAGTACCCGTATGCCCAGCTAATTTTTCTAATTTTTTAGAAGATGGAGTCTCCCTGTTTTGCTCAAGCTGGACTCGAACTCCTGCCCTCAAGAGATGCTTTGGCTTTGGCCTCCCAAAGTGCTAGGATTATAGGCATGAGTCTGTGAGCCTTGTCACCCAATCTATTTTCTAATTAGGAAAAACTGTAAAAAAAAAAAAAAAAAAAAAGTTTGGCTATTAATCAGATAAAGCAAGGGCAGGAACAAATTCTCTAAAGCTTTAACTTAAAGCAATCATGCACCAACTAACAAGAAGTGCCAAGTGGAAATCCTTTAAATCCTTGGTCAAGCTAGTAAATCAAATGCCATGCCATATTCTGGAAAGATTTGTAGAGTTTAGAGCCACCATCAAAGATTTAAATGATATAGAGTTGGATTCTCCATTCTATCCTTTTTCTGTTTACTTCTTTGGCTCCTGCAAAAATCAAATGGGACTGTCACAGCCAAAAGGATTCTAAAGAGATAATGGTATCTAAATGTAAGGTGGTATCATGAATGGAATCCTGGAACAGAAAAAGGACATTTGGTAGAATCGATGCAACAATATTTTGTGAAGCAACCCATCCATTCTAGCAGTTAAACTTAGGGTAATCCAGCAGAGACAACATTAGCCTCTTTCCGGAAAATGTAGTTGAGATTTTCTGCGACATTCTGACGACATTGCATAATGTTAGGAAAGTAAACCCAAACTATGAAAACCAACTATTGAACTATTTTGTATTATCCGATATTTCCAGCTAGTGGCAATAAATAAAATATGACCAATAAACTTAGATTCTATATTTAAACTAAGTTTCAAAGATGGGTGTATATTTTATTTTAATTAATTTAAATTGAGATGGCCACATGCATGGACAGCACCATTGAAATTAGGCAGCCATAGAAAGGGCAGGATATATTCCAGATTACTCATGTCTAGTCAAGATTTGAGATGATTATAAACTGCGCCTCTTTGGTCTCTCATTCTAAAATTAACTTTTGTTGTGTGTGTTTTTTTTTAACAGAGATTAATTTCCTTCCTTGTTTCCCACAACATCATGAGTCTATCGAAATTCTGCCCATTTCTCAGTCTCTCAGAAGTTTCTAAGGTATTCAGAGAAACCATCAATAGGGGAAGAGGGCCCCAAAGAAGCCTTACATATCTATGATTTCTGCTTCTTATAGATAC